ACTCCAAGCAATATTATTCAATTTTTTATTTGCATTTTGTAAGAGTATGGCAACGACTCGTATGAATACGTAACGAGGCAAACGATGAAACCCTGAATACTTATTCTTGCATTCTTGTAGTATATAAAATTTTTAAAGAAAGTAACTTAACTTGAAAATAACTCATAGAAAGTAACTCAGTTAGATAATCGTACAAACATATCAGTGTAGTGAGCTGTGACGTTCAACAAACACAAATTTTCCCATTTATATGTAGGCAAAACTTACGTATTCTTACATGGATTAAAAATAATGAAAAAATTTGTTATCAAAAATTTAATAAAATTTAAACTATTTATATATTTTCCATAATTGTATTTTAGGTACTGGAATTGTGCTTCACACAACAAAAGTTATTCCTTATATAGTTCAGAACGTTCATTTTTAAGAAGTTGTATTGCAACTGTAACGAGACCTCCCATCTTAAAATCCTTCTCCTAGACTAGGTAATAGTCATTACAAATAGGATTAAGCTGCTCATACCCTCTCAGGCAGAGATACTGAAATATATAAAAATATAACAAATACAATTTGAAATTAAAACTTTAAAATAAATGCAGGAATGGCGTGATTTCATTTAGACTGCTTTGTTTCTCTGAACGCAAATGCACAGAAAAACATGTCGGATTGCATGTAATTTGGAAAATGCTGAATATTTATCGTCCACGATTGAAGTTATCGCACAGCCTACATGTAGCAGACCTTAAAAGTCATCTAACACCTGTTGGGTAATGAATGAATAGTGTATACAGCGAGTCTTATACCCAGGACCTTAAGTTTCGGTTGTGTACAGAGTTTGGCAACAGTCACGTAAAATCAGTCGTCATTAAAGAATGTAAGAACGCTTCAGGATTGTTATCCAAATGTTTGTGGCACCTGCGAACGACTAGAGGACACATAACCCGTAAATGTGATATATTTGACGTGACTATCGAGTAGACATATTCATAAAAAGTGAAACCGATTTTAGTGATCGATCCAGAATACATGGTATAAAATATATATTTTGCTTTTTCTAATTTAATTCTAAGTTTCTAGCTGGAAATCTGTCAAAGGCTAATAGCTGGAATCTTCCCAATTCATTTCAAGGGGATGGTTTTCACACAACGCAATTTTTGATGCTCTTCACAATAAAGAGAAATTAAAGAAAAAAATTATTCTATTTTTTTAATGTTAATTTTTTCTTGCCTTAAAAGTTAGAAGGGTTCGAATAGAAATTAAAAAAGCAACATCAAAAATTTAAGTTAATTTATTGAAATTAAGCTGACCATATAACGCTGTTTCGTGTATTGCCAAGTACTCGTCAACGGTGGTCTTAGGATATACTCGAATTTTTTTTTTTTTGAATTAGTTTATAATCCGTATATAATTTGTTTAGACTGAAAGTGCTAGGGTTAGAACTTATGCCTGTCAAATTAGAAACGATGACTAATCGAGTTTTTTCACAAGTAGTCAAGGCTGCACAAACTTTCAATGCTCAAGTTCCAAGTTTTTTGTCACTTTATTTTAATTTTCTTTTGGTTTACGTGAAACTTCAAATTACCAGAAATACGGACTAACGGAGATCTACTCTAATTTAATTGTTAGTTTATACTTTCATTATTAAGATAAAAGTTTATAAACTAAATAAAGAAATTCTTATCCTTTTTTTTTAACTGCTAATAGAATTTATTCATAACTTTAAGTTTAATGAGTGGATTTATTCCTTCCAACTTTTAGTGCTAATTCAGTGCTGACTGCGTGCTCTTGAAATGGACTTTCTGTCTTCAGGGTTAAACTAACTAACTAATTTATTTACTTGTGATGCTTCAATTTGATCTATTAGGACATTTTTAATTGGATTGAAAGCACTTATTAACTAATTTTTTCTTCCTTCGCTGTGCTCAATTTCGCAGCATAAACATCTATCTACTAGAAGGATGATAACTCTTCCCTATCATTAATATAGATGACTTATTTAAGACAAAAATAAATTTTCTAAACAATGAAAATTTAAACCTCGATAATACGAAAGCCTTCTCCTGCTGTTTTTGTTTTTGTTTTTGTTATTGTTGCAGTTTTTGTTTTTGTTTTTATCATCTAAACTTAAGTATGCTAAATTTGTTTTGTTTATTATTTTTGCGTTTTCACTATATAGCCGGTGTTATTGTTGTTACTGTTGTTATTGTTGTTGTTTTTTCAATCAGTTTCACTTTCACTTTCGATAAGTTGAAAAGTGAAAAAGTGAAAAGTGCGCAAAGCACAATCAAGCAAACAAGAAATATGAACACACCAACTAACAAACAACGAATAAACAAGAAACCATGTTTAAGGCGCTGAAATAAGGCACACATACATCATGGCGGCACACTACACTGCAACACACCATATCGTCCTATACCATTGCCACAGCGTTCTTAGCCACAGCGTTCTTCCCCAACACTCTACATGCATCAGTGAATTTACAAGAGCAACAACAAAAACAACAACAACAACAACAACTATAAGAACAAGGCAAATAACATAGCAGCTACATTGACTTGCCTCTCGAAGCAATCAATTTTTGCAAACCATACCAAAGTATATTGGAAACGCATTGCTTAAGCTTTATTGATGAATTCAAATTGAATGGAAGGATATCGTTTGCCATTTTTTATATTACATTTCATTCCTCATTCCTCATTCTTCATGTTGTATGGCTACTGCTACTGCCACTACCACTACAACCACTGACTGGTATTACTGCCTCAATTGCTGCTGCTGCTGCTGCTGCTGCTGCTACGGCTGCTATTGTTGTTGTTGTTGTTTTGTTTTGTTTTCACTTTTTCAGTTTACACTGGCTGGCACACTAGTGTGCATTTGTTTTTATTTGTTGTCTTAACAGTTTTCAGTGCTGTTATTGATGTTATTCATCTTTGTTATTGTAATTTGTATTGTAATTTTTTATTTTTCTTTTACTTTTGTTACTGTTATTTTCTTCACACTAAATGTCGTTGTTGTTTTTGTTGTCAGTGCTGGTAGTTGTGTTATTATTATTATTGCAATTGCTGTTATTTTTTTTTTTTTTGTTTTTATTGCTCACTGTTAATAGTGTTGGTATTGTTTTGGCTTATGTTTATTTGTTTATTTCTTACTCGAAGTTATTCACCTTAAGCACTTCACCACAGTGGCTAGCAAGCACAGTAAAAGAGGAGTACATTTAATATTTCTTTATCCACATATCGAAGTACTTTTACTTTATTTACATTTTTCAAAAAGAAAAATTCTTATACGCACTGCGTTTGAAATGTGCACACACAAGCAACTTAAGTTTGCTTTCGTAGCTGAAGAAGAAGTTGAACCAAAATAGTTTATATCCGAAAACGCTTAAGAGTTTTTAGAAAATCGGTTAGTGAATTGAAATTGCAATGGATAAAGTTTTGCGATGCGCCAGCAGAAAACTAAAGTATTTTAATGGATGAAAATAGATGTGTACTCAAAGCGTTTGAACTTTTTAAATTTTCAAAAATTGTTGAAATAAACTCTTCGATTATAGAGAAAATAAAAACAAAAAGAACAAAAAAAAAATCAAAAAAAAAACCGAAAACAAACAAAGCAAACGCTGTAGAACAACAAACACAACAACAACGAAAATAGCTTTTCTTTTATCGTGGCCTCAGGACCTTTCAAAAGAATAATTGTATTACAAATTATTTATTTATTGTTAAATTTCTCTTATTATATACTCAAATTTAAATATTAATATTAGATAATAATGAAGATTGTTATTAACGATGAGCTGTATAAGCTATGCCGCAGCATTGATATAGTTAAATGCATAAAAATTGTGCGGCTCAACTGACTGGATCGTGTCGTTCGAATGAAAGAAAGTGCTTCAGCTATAGAAAGGTGTTTGATTCGGTACCCGCAGGTCGAAAACGCGGTAGAGGACGTCCGCATCTTCAGCTGAAGGACAAGAAGATCAACGTTTTAGTGACGCTTAGTACTACCAACTGGCGACAGAAAGCCACAAATCGGGCTAGCTGACGGAGACTACTCGACGCGGCCAAGGACGGCTTACATTTGAAATGGCCCACTAAATAAGTAAGATATTGAAAATATTCAACACGTTTGTCACTGGATATATGGTAGTGTTGGTAACGATGTACCTGTCAACACGACTCCGATTATGAAAACTGATATTACAGGGTAAATTTTTTTTTGTTCGATATTTACTCATGTAAAAAGTGATATTTATTAGAAAATAAGGTTAACAGTTTTACATCGATAGGAGAAAATACCTCAAGAAATTGTTAAAAAAAAATTGTACAGTTTACAATGAGAATGATGTGCCTGAACGCTAATTGTATGGATAGATATTTTGTTAGAAAGTTTTGGAACGCTTGTAATATTTTTGTATTTTTATGTTGGCAAAGCTTAAAATGCTACTTAATAGAAGGTCTTGCAGTTTTTTAACTGCAACTTCCTTAAAAAACGAGTTCCCTAAAAGTAGCTTAAAAACTATAGTATCATTAAAATGACACTATGACTAATCATTTTAATTACTGAGACGTACTACTAATCTGCATATTATAAATGTAAGTAATATATATAAATGCACAAGAAAAAACGATACTTCTGAGAATATCATACTCATCATCATGGCTAATTGTATACAAAGGGAAAGTGTCATGCAGTACTATATGTTCTCCAATATTTTGAAAATTTCATTTACACCTCAACAATAGTGGTTTTAGAAGTCCATAGAAGTCTAAAACCAAACACGTCTTCAGTCATTATAACATTATTTCATATATGCACATAACACATGACACGCACTTATGATGTTTTAAGCAAGAATGTTCTTATCAAAATCTTATATATATCCATTATGATCATCCGAAGTTAACTCGTTTTAGAAATTTTTCTACTTTCAAATAATTTTATAAAGCAGGCGTGTTTTTATTTCAACTTAAACAAATTTTTATTACAATTCATTTCAAATATTTTACAACTAAAGCCAGTTTCTAATTTTTTCTCTGCCAACAACTAAAGAATTCTATATCCAAATTATAGTGTATTATATATTTCGGAATAAAATATGGGTCGGAAATTGAAAGAAAATCTTAGTGATTCACTCGATGATATATTTAAAGCATTTAAAAAGGAACTTAATTTACACCGCGAACGTCAAAAAGAGATCGTAGAAGGCTTTATAAAGAAAGTTAATTTTCTTAAAAAGAATCATACCAACTCAATTGACAGGACTTTTAAAAGAGACGTTAGGAGGATTCAACTTGAAGACAATAAAAAGAGTGTGTGGAAATTACCATCAATTATTGGACCTGGACCATTCCAAGGAAAACACAAAAGACTTGTTTATTGTGACTGCTCTTCAGACGGAAGTGATTTAGATTCAGAATCAGAATCAGAATCAGAAGTAGATGATGATGACGACGATGATGACTTTGAGGATGAAGATGAGAAGAAGGATCAGCGGCACATAAATGGAAAATGTTGCACACTACGAATACAACGTAATGTTCAAAAAGGTCGGAAATATCCTCCAAAGCCCAAGAGAAAAAACTGTAAGTACAAATTATATGAAGTAAAAAAACAAGTTCTTATGTTTGTGGTTAATAAATAATGTTTAGTTAAAAAGAAGCAAAGTCTGGCAAAGCTTAAAATTTCGTCAATCAGTAAAAATGAGTTGAAACTTAAACAGAATTTGCTCCATTTAATTAATGAGGAGAGAAAGAATAAAACAAACCCTGGTGCCATGAATTGTTCGATTCCAATGACTGAGCGACAGAATTTGGAGATGCCGGGACCAAGTGGACATTCAGGTTCACTTATAGTTAATATGCCGATGGGCTGTAACCCTGTTAAGAAGAAAGCTTTTAAGAAACAAAGGAAGAAATAAATCACATATTTCAAGTAAAAAAACTGATTCAAAAGCTAAAAATGATGAGATTCGAGAGGAAGAGTGTAACAGTGTAAGTTAAAAATTCATTAATTTAACATATATTGTACCCATATAGTTAATGGTTTTTTCTTCATTATTTCCATAAAGTGAAAAAGAAGATATAGACGATAAACAAGATTCTGGTATGTCATAGGTATACAGAAAATTGTCTACTGCACAACTCGAGACTCACAGCATTTGGACGCAGACTTTAATACTTAAACCGAATGAAGCCAGATTTTCTTACTGATGTATTGAACTATCAGATTCTTTTGATTGTTTCGGGAAGGAAAGGTTAATAGTTGTAAGCTGTATACCTCCACAGAGTCGGTAATTTCTGTCTTAGATCTCATCATAATTAGATCAAATCATCATGCAATCAGTTTTTTTTTTGGTGTACTTATTTAACAAAATTGTGGATGAAGGAGGCATGGTGAGTCGTCAAAATTGTGGTGTCAATGAGAGAAAAAGAAATAATTTTTATAATTCGTATAGGTGTATTTTTTTGAGGATGGCAGCAAAAATGGAAAATACACAGGGGCTGTTAAGATAAAGGACAAATGTAACACTCATCATTTAGTTAACCCGTGTAATATATTTGTAGGAATGATGATGAAAATCATAAATTTCGTAGGTCAGCAAAAAAAAAAATTTATATATTTTTCCATATAATCTTTTTTTCTGTTTTTAGTTAAGTGATTTAAATTGACCCATTTTGTAAATATATTTATTTTTTCATGACGAATTTTTCAAAATTTTTTTTGGTTTTATGTTTAAAGAAATAAGAAACAAATTTCAGTAGTTAAATAAATTTTTAATATTAGTTTCAAGTGTATGTAAATACTCCCACATTATTTATTATATATAATTACAAATACATATTTTTGATAAATGGTATTATTTCTTTTATTTTGTTTATTTATCTATTAGATCTGAAGAATTCTGAAAAACTTTTAAATTCCTAACTACTATAACGTTGTATTTCAAACACAAAAACAAATGCTAGTGCAATTTTGGTTTTAATTCGGTTTTTCACATATGTGATCCACAAAATTAAGAGAAAATTAATTTTTTTCTAGATTATTATTAGGTATCAGTTTAAAGCAGAAATCCTCTACTTTCATTCTTATAAATATTCTCTGTATAAGTAAAATATGTAATGCATCGAATTCACTATAATCTGTACATTAGTCTTTTCAAAAATCGTTAGTACTATGTTAAGACATAATATATAATTTTCTTTAATAATAAATTTGTCTCTTAACTTTATGCAGTCTCAATTTTTGCTAAGTATCGTTACATCTGCCAGACTGTAGTTATCAGTGAAGACATACATAAAATATTTCTTAGACGCACTGTAAAGCAAATCGCTTTTCTAAATCTACCGACGATCGTGAAGTTCGACTTAGGCCTATTCGCCTATTGTGTTACCGCATAAGATCTGACATTTTCAAACCACCTTGTACATTTGGCAAAGTCTTAAATACTAAACGGAGGTCTTGTGGCCCAGCATAGTCTTATGTATATTCAGATTGTCCAGATGTTAGTTATCGTGCAAATGTTTACCAGAAATGGCATAAGAAAAATATGATATTACCTGACGGTTTAATTACAAGTTATTTGGGTTCTAACAAAATCAAGTAAAGCACTTACTTCCAGATACACTATGTTACTGCACAATAAGTTGGATCGTGTGTGTGCCTGGTATTTAGCTTAGTATAACTCATAAATAACAGTATATTTTAATGACAGACACAGAGAAAAATGAAAACGTAAAAAATGAAAATGTTAAGAAAGAAATATGTTAATGGTTATGTACTTAATGTTTACATATGTTTAAATTAATTATAAGTCATAGCTCATTCATAGGCATTCGTGTCGACATAAGACCACATAATTCTGATCTTACACAAATGTTAGAAGTTCTTGTTATACGATGACGAGGGTAATAATATAAATCATGACTCATTAAAGTTGTAGCAGAGGAGGAATCAAAATAAAAAAGTCATTTACAAAAACGAAGCAAATTTAATGATATTTGTAGTGTTATCTAGTATGCCAACGTCTAACACAAGCAACCTCAAGTGACTGGATATGTAATGTCACAACTTTAACAACTGATGTCATCTTAATCATCGTATATTTCTCATCCACATATATGCATGCACATATATATATGTATATATGTATATATTTGTTTGTGAACAATAGAACAGTAAATTTGTAGACAAGGATACTCATACGCTGTGTGGTCCTTTTCCTTTGACTACAGTTACACTTAATTACGCCATATTGAAATATTAAATTTGTTAGGCACTAAGGAAGGAGTGGGAGTGGGAGTGCGAGTGCGAGTATTTCAATTTATCACATTTAATAAGTTCAGCATTGCTGAATGTGTTCTCTAACAGTTCCGTCTTGGAATGTATCTGATTGTTTTTGTGTTCGCGCTGTAGTATTTATTGTATATTGCGAACGTGTTTGCTTCCGTCTGTGCGCTACTCATAAAGGCGTAATCGCCATGAATTACATAATTAGTCACGCATTTAATTATTATTAATGATTTTTGGGGTCTACGTGAAGACTGCAGTATGAGTGGCTTAGCGATAACAAATTTGATAGAATATGTCACTTCATGTGAGTTTGTGTTCATATGGTTCGACAGCAGTGTTCGTATAGTTTTGCCCAAGAAAGAGAGTGCTTCTGTGCAGATATGACTTTAATGCCTAAGTAAATAGCTGAGTGTTTCCTATATGATTTTTTTCCAATTAATTTATGTTGATTAAGGCTTTTTTCTTCGGACAACTTTCTCTATCTAAAAATCATTTCTCGATTTGTGTACAAGAGATTAATTCATATCAGCAAAAATATTTATTAATTTTTTTGTTTTTGTATTAGTTCAATATATACTCACTCAGTGAAAGCCTTCTTAATATCATTTAATTTTTATTGGAAAAATTAAGTCTGTTTTGTTCGCTTTTTTTATTTATAGATTTTGCAGATAATATTCTTTTAACGATCTGTTGCACCATAAATTGTCTTATAAATAATTTTGTAAATACAAATATGTTATATAAAGTTATTTAAATAACACTAAGGTTTAGTACGTTGATTAAAAATCTTTAAAAGCGTCTACAGTTGTTTTGTAATTTTAATTAAAATAAAAGAGTTGATTAAAAGTTAACAAAGAAAAAAACAAATCAGTGTGCTGGACTGATTGCATAGAATAACATCATATTACCGGCGACATCCAAGTTATAATTCCGCCAATGAGAAATAACATACATTTAACTTAATTACGATATAGTTTGCACAAATTCCAAATGCAGACCCTCTGACTTGATGCACGGAAGCAAATCATAGGTATGTAGGTTAATATCTGTGTTTACAGGGCACTGGACCATTTGAGCTTGACTCGGCCTACCTTGTGGTATCTCCTGTAACGCATGTCTACCAAATCTTGAAGAAAGGACAACAGAAAACCTATTGTGTCCATGTCCAGGCTTGGCCTTAACGAGGCATAGGTTTTTGAAGGTTCCCTTCTTTAACACATTTAGCAATATCTCTAGTATAAGCATTGGCTAACCTCTCGCCTTTATGTAGACTTCTAACTGGTTCTAATTCGACCTTCTTCTACACATTATTACAAGGAATTGTAGATTCAAAACGGCTTTCTTAGCTAATTGAGTAGGATTCGTTCCTCCCTTCACTTTAACTAACTAACTAGGTCTCGAAAAAAGAGAAATTTATAAAATAGTACATTCGGTAAAAGCATGGTCGGCAGCATGGTTGAAAAGGGATCCCAACCGCGTGTGAAATATATTCTACTAAGTGAGAGCAAGTGTTGATATATTCGTGTAACCTTAGCAGAGGTGTGAAAAAAAAAAATTGGGGCAGTGTTCACCACATCGTCTGCGTCGGTGGTTCATACAATCATGAACAACTCTTCTTTCGAAGATCCCAATTAACTCCAACTTGTGGGGGCTAATTTCGGACTAGATGGAAAAGGCATATGAATTGCTTATTGCAAAGTACTTTTGTCTTGCAATTAAGCTGATTCTAACTATGGAGCGCATATTTCAAGTATTTTTGCCTGAATAAGACGTTGTTAATAGCATAACTAATGTGGGAGATAAAGTTATGCTCAGAGGTGAACACAAATTTAAAATATTTCAACTTTTGAACAAGCTAAATGGGGGAACCATCAATCCAAAGCTCCAGCTCGGAGATATTGATGGACCTGACACGATTGGCGCTTTGACCAGTAAAAGTTATGACAGAGATTTTATTTGAATTGCACTTAATCTTTCACTTACTGTAGGAGGTGAAGACGGACAATTTCGTTTCCGAATCAATTAAATTCAAATAACGAAAATTAAATAAAAATTCATAGATCTCCAACATTTTATCAGAAATAGCATCGAACCGTTTTCAAAGTGTTATATAGGACATAATAATGTACATAATAACACATAAAATCAAGTGTAAAACCAGAGTTCAGTATAATTGTAAAGAAAATACAATAGATAATAAAACCGAACTCAAAGCGAACGATCCAAATTTGTGCTTTATTATGACAAAGCAATTTTCCCTTGAACATTATCGACCTTCCTCAATGATTTCACCGAATTCATTTTTATCCGCATTTATTATGTTTTACAAGCCGTTTAAAATTTGCATACGGAATATGAAATAAGGAGCGCAGCTATACCGCACAGAACGGAACAACAAGCAAACAAGTGAGCTCATATGTTATGCGGGAGTTCCCGGTATTATTTGTTTCTTGATATTTTATGACCGGCAAATGCCAGCACATACTACGCTAAATACAACGGCATCCACACGAATTTGTACGCACGAGGGATGTATGCAAATTTGCGCTGGGGCGCCTAAAGTCAGGCAAGTAAAAATTTTTACGATATTTTCAATAAAAACGCAAGCAGAAAGAAGAAAAAGAATTAATAAGTGAATAAAACATGGAATATATCAGGGCAAGGAAGAGTGTAGAACATTTCAATTTTTACATTTTTATTTATTATTATTTTTATGTACTTTCAATTTTGTGTTTTGTGCCGCACCAGACTATGCCCCTCACCTGCTGTGTTTTCACTTATTTTTACGGAGCGTTCCCGTTAAGTTTTGTGTAAACAAGGCAAATACCGCTTTTGAATTCTAATGTAAACGCTGATGATTGTGCAATTATTGTTACAAGGCAGACAAACTAAATTTCACAAAACAATGCCAATCGATAGGGGAGAAATACCACTAATCAATATAACATGAGCGTGGAAAAATAAATAAAGGACTTTGTAGGTTTTCTTGTTGATATTAGATACTTTATGAGATGCTTATTTATGGTTTGCTTTTAACATATATTTGTATAATATATAAACGATAAGTTTATATACTAAGTTCCGTTGTCAAGTTTAAATTTAATGCTTTTAAAACGAGCATCGAAATAAAGAAGTTTACGAATTCCAGCTGCGCCGGAAAATATGCAATAAAATTCAATTTAACTAAATTGCTGGTGCACATTTGTGCCTTTCTTCTTTTTCCGCTGCTTAAGTTTTCTTTCCTTCTATTTTATTTTTTTCTTTTTTTTTTTATTCGTTCTTCTTTTTTTTTTTTGGTTTTTTGTGCTTTGATATTCTTTACAGTAACGTGGGTCGAAATAAAATTGTAAAAACTATAGTGTTTTTTGCTGACTTGTCTGCTTGACAGTTGGTGCAAAAGTTAAGAAAGATTCAGACAAAACGGACGTATGGGTAAGCAAAAGGACACAAATGACTCAATTTAAATGTTGTCCATAATTTGTGCTCCTGCAACGCATAATGCAGTACAGCTTACTTCAGAGGCATTTGCTGCTGACTCGACTGTTCATCAAACAATGGTCAACATTAAAAATTTAAGTGCAATAAATCGAGAAACAAAATTCAGTGAAGGAAAAGACTTAAAAACTTCTTGAATTAAAACTAATGATAAGTCACTACTTCCAATCCGTCATTTACTTTAATATTATTATTATTTAAAAAGAGGTAGTGCACTGTGACCTAAACGACTAATTGTGTCGCTTAGTAAAGTTAGAGTGTTTCTCCAAGTCCGATTTCTTTAATGAAAGACAATATAAAGCCTATAAGTCCTAGTCTTGAATCCATGAAATACCCTCCTAGATTATTCTTATAGTATACTTTGGAACAACGATAATCAAAAAGTATTACCGTTAATGAACCTTGCAAACTAATTTAGAAAAGCACGAGCAAAAGAAAAAAATTGAATGATTTAGTTCTCCTCTTGCTCTTTGTAAACGAATATATATTCAACTGATCTGGAATGCAATAATCTTTCGATAGTGGCTTGTAAATGACAGTCTCGTTCAACATATGTCACTAAAATAAATAATAAACAATAAATAAATAAATATAACTGAAATATTTCACAAATCTATTATAGTAGGTTATGTTAGGGTAGTTTGGAAGAACGTGTGTTGATGTTGAGAGGAATACCTATATATAAAATGATGATCTTTACCCTTGTATTTCAGTAATACATTTATATATGATTTTTGATAAGAACATCTACACATCATCTAAGAGATAACTATAGCCCGTTGTGATAACCATTAGAATAGTACTTCAAAAACAAATTTTTATCAGATTTTAGTTGCTTACCGAAGAGTAAGAGTTACTAAATTTTGAACACAAGTTTTTTGAGATTTCGTGAAACCATTTTCTCCTCTATAAAGGACATCCCAGTGTTATCATTCCAAAACTTAAATACTTTTTGTAAAATATTTATTATAGAGGAAAATTAAAAAGTCTGTCAACTTTTATATCTGTAAAGCTGAACTGAAGAGGGGAGGCATATGAAGAACTAATTATCAAGTTAAATGTCTTAAGATGTCTTAAGACTATAAATTAAGACCACATACCCAAAATTTTGGGACATTTCCGAGTATTGGTCATTTCATGCCACTTTTGTTGTTCTGCATGTAAATATTTACGATTTTAATTGAAAGATCCATTTACGGTATGGACTCGAACTGCAAGTAATGGAAATGCCTTGTTAGCATTTTCCCCAAGTAGTCATTTATGCAATCGGAATATTCGTTTGTTTGTATTCATTCTTGCTTTCTCTTGCACATTTCCTTTTCTTTATGTAAGAAAATAAAGCGAAAGGAAAGCTCTGAGTTTTCATGCTGCAATTAATTATCTGCGGAAATGTTTCTTTATCTCGGACAAAAACTTTTACTGCAACGATAACTGCCACCAACAGATTTCCATTTTCATTCCATTTTGTTGCCGGTCCTGTACGCTTACTTATTCTTATTTTTTCGCCCCATTTTTTTTTCAACAAATTGCATATTTGTTTCTTAAAATGAAGCAGGAGCAGTTAAACTTTATGAATTTAAATTAAGCGAAATGCATATGCCTTACATTTTTTACCAATTGGCGTGAAATAATTCAATTTTTAATCGCTACTTCCTTCGCAAGGGAGCAATTCTCATAATTAAAATTTTTGACATAAGTAAGTCAATTTTGCCTTTTGTATCTTATTTTACGGTTTTATTGTTTTATAGCTTCATTACTACATTTTCTTATTTAAAAACTAAAAAAAATACTTGTAATGTGGAAGCCATTATTTTTTTATACGTAATTTGTTGAGTCGGAGGAGGAAAACCGAATGGGGCTGCCGTTTAAAAATGAACAAAAATATTTCGTAATTTGTTCGACACAATAATTTATGTCAACTTAAAAACTTTTGCAGTTCATAGGTAGTAAATTTCTTTAAAAAAAAAAACTACACATTATTAATAAATATTTTAGATATTTTGTACACTTAATTCTGTCCAACCCCCCTTCCCCAAAAAACAAGCTGTCGCTATACAATTCACTAAAGGAAGTGTGAATTTATATATAGTGCAGCCAGATACGATATATCACATTAAAAATAATATCTTATATTCTTTAAACAATAAATTGTCCTAAACATACCCAAAGAAATATAATAGACTGCATAAAAAGTTTTTAGCATTTTTTTAGTTTCCATAGTAAGTACTTTTTAACATAAATTACATTTACTCACAAAAAATTATAATACAAAGTAAAGTTAATCAAAAAAATAACTTCAATATTAAAAATTTTTATGTAACTTAACTTACAACTTACAAAGTTCAACTCTAATGAAGCCCAATTCTTAATTTTACTAATTCCGTCACCATTTTTAGTGCAGTTCGCTAGCACTGCCATTATTTTCCTTTCAACGATACTGTCCATGCTAACTAGCGCTTTCACTTAACAAAGCAAGCACTATAAACATTTTTAATGCTTTTAGCAAGCAATTTTTCTTGTTTTTGGTACTGTTTCTATGATAAGGTTTTCGAATTTGTCTTTAACGAATAGTTTTTCAAATTATTTTAAAAACGTTAATTTTTAAAAAATATAAATAAATTGTTATTTTATTACCTTTATATATAAAAGCAAAATAAAATACGGAACATTTGTGTAGATGATAGCTGGAGAATTATTTCGTCACTAATATGACCTCAATTTAGTATGCCATGATGTTGAGGCCTTTTTTTAAATATAAGAATATCAGCTAGTGTTTTCTACATGCACCTAACACAAGACACGCACTTATTATGTTTTAAGCAAGAAATTTCCTATTAAAATCTTATATATGTCTATTATGATCATCCGAAGTTAACTCGTTCTGGAATTTTTTCTACTTTCAAATAATTTTATAAAGCAGGCGTGTTTTTATTTCAACTTAAACAAATTTTTATTTCAATTCATTTCAAATATTTTACAACTAAAGCCAGTTTCTAATTTTTTCTCTGCCAACAACTAAAGAATTCTATATCCAAATTATAGTGTATTGTATATTTCGGAATAAAATATGGGTCGGAAATTGAAAGAAGATCTAAGTGATTCACTCGATGATATATTTAAAGCATTTAAAAAGGAACTTAATTTACACCGCGAACGTCAAAAAGAGATCGTAGAAGGCTTTATGAAGAAAGTTAATTTTCTTAAAAAGAATCATACCAACTCAATTGACAAGACTTTTAAGAGAGACGTTAGGAGGATTCAACTTGAAGACAATAAAAAGAGTGTGTGGAAATTACCATCAATTATTGGACCTAGACCATTCCAAGGAAAACACAAAAGACTTGTTTATTGTGACTGCTCTTCAGACGGAAGTGATTTAGATTCAGAATCAGAATCAGAAGTAGATGATGATGACGACGATGATGACTTTGAGGATGAAGATGAGAAGAAGGATCAGCGGCACATAAATGGAAAATGTTGCACACTACGAATACAACGTAATGTTCAAAAAGGTCGGAAATATCCTCCAAAGCCCAAGAGAAAAAACTGTAAGTACAAATTATATGAAGTAAAAAAACAAGTCCTTATGTTTGTGGTTAATAAATGATGTTTAGTTAAAAAGAAGCAAAGTCTGGCAAAGCTTAAAATTTCGTCAATCAGTAAAAATGAGTTGAAACTTAAACAGAATTTGCTCCATTTAATTAATGAGGAGAGAAAGAATAAAACAGACACGGGTGCCATGAATTGTTCGATTCCAATGACCGAACAACAGAATTTGGAGATGCCGGGACCAAGTGGACATTCAGGTTCACTTATAGTTAATATGCCGATGGGCTGTAACCCTGTTAAGAAGAAAGCTTTTAAGAAACAAAGGAAGAAATAAATCACATATTTCAAGTAAAAAAACTGATTCAAAAGCTAAAAATGATGAGATTCGAGAGGAAGAGTGTAACAGTGTAAGTTAAAAATTCATTAATTTAACATATATTGTACCCATATAGTTAATGGTTTTTTCTTCACTATTTCCATAAAGTGAAAAAGAAAATATCGACGATAAACAAGATTCTGGTATGTCATAGGTATACAGAAAATTGTCTACTGCACAACTCGAGACTCACAGCATTTGGACGCAGACTTTAATACTTAAACCGAATGAAGCCAGATGTTCTTACTGATGTATTGAACTATCAGATTCTTTTGATTGTTTCGGGAAGGAAAGGTTAATAGTTGTAAGCTGTATACCTTCACAGAGTCGGTAATTTCTGTCTTAGATCTCATCATAATTAGATCAAATCATCATGCAATCAGTTTTTTTTTTGGTGTACTTATTTAACAAAATTGTGGATGAAGGAGGCATGGTGAGTCGTGAAACTTGTGGTGTAAATGAGACAAAAAGAAATAATTTTTATAATTCATTTAGGTGTATTTTTTGGAGGATGGCAGCAAAAATGGAAAATACACAATTTATATGCAGGCGCTGTTAAGATAAAGGACAAATGTAACACTAACCTTTCGTTTAATCCTTTCAGGATGGAGAGATTAAATTATAACAAAAATGATAAATTTTGAAGGTTTGCAAAAAAAAGAAAAATTTGATATAGTTTTATGTTTATTTTTTTTTTTTTTGCAGAGGTTTTTCTTCGGTTAAGCGATGTGAATCACAAAACTCTTTGAAAATATGAAAAATTAAAGGATAAATTTCGAAAAAATCTGGAAACCCATGTTGCAAATTATATTTCTTGTTTTTATTTTTATTTTTCACAAACTATTTTTAAACACTTATTTGTTTATAAAAAAACAAAATTCATTAGTTAAGTAAATTAATTAAGTAAATTTATATTAATTTCAAATATATACTCAAATAAACACTGTTATGTGAATTATAGTAAATATATGATTATATACATCCAATTGCAATGTATTGTATCATTTCTTTCATATTGGTTATATATCTATGGGATCCAAACATTTCATTAATAATTTATCTTACATATGGGTCATTCTTTTATAAGGGAACAAAATTTTGACTTCTTCACCTCCATTTGGGAGACACTTTTTTAATAATCTCGTTTTTAAAACATTAATACTAGTGAATCGTAAAAATGGCTATATCTGTGACTTTGTAAATTATTGAGACTTAAATTTTTTTTTTTGTAAAGATAATTAGTATAACTTTTTGTAAGAAAAATAAATACACAAAAAATTTTTAAATTCAAACACTAATAGTTCCTGTTAATTTAAAAAAAAAAAACAAAATATACATATATTGAAAACTCTCTTTTCTGTATTTAAGACTTGCAGTTATGACTACATTTTTTTTGAGTACGATGAAAACTCCTCGAAGTTGTTGTTTTAGAAGAATTTTTAAAAAAAATTTAAGTTGGATGCTCTGGTAGTTTGAATAAGTTTATTCATAACCAAACATCCAGATACTTTCATAACTCCTTGACTTATCTGATGATTTCAAAATATCAAATAAAGTACAACACACGCTCGCTAAAATCATAACCTGTAAGCCATTCAGAATTCTTTCTCCCATATATTGAAGGATTAAATGTACGGGAAATAAATCGATATTTATGGATGGCTTGGTTACGGCTCTGTCAACATTTTTTGTCGATCATAGCTAAAAAAGGAAGAAACTTTCAATATACATATCTGAGGTTAGTTGAGTTTTGACTGAATGCATGAATGAAGGAGCTTAATAGATGATTGATATAAACACACTTTGTACGGCCAGAGGTTGGACAATGCTTATACTAGAAATATTGCTGAGTGTGTTAAAGAAGGGGACCTCCAAAAACCTAAGCGTATTTCTAGCTAAGCCTAGACATAGGCACAACAGGTTTTCTGTTGTCCTTTCTTTGAAAGTTGGTAGATATGCATTGCAGGAGATACCACAGGATAGGCCGAGTTTAGTTCTATGTTGTTCAATAACCTAGATACTTCTGATTTGCTTCTGTGTATCAAGTCAGATGTTCTGCATTTGGAATAACCCGACTGCTTAGGGTAGCATATACCTATCCACTATTAGTTTGTCTCAAAAAGTCATAACTCAAATTGCGACTGTAGCTGGCAGCGACGAGCCCTATAATTGAATTAATTTTTCCTTTGAAGCCATTTTCTAACCATCCGAGTGCTTATTAGTAAAGGCAATGACGCAATCGATGATCATGCGGTTTTTAATTTTTTCATCGATTGCATCTTATAAGTGCTAAAGCTTGTGTAAAATGGTTTTGTGAATAATATTGAATCATGAACAAGAGTTAAACTGAAGATGGGCTTTAATGGGGTGATATCTCAGGGTTAGAGTAATATAGGGTTATCTCAAGGTTATCATGTTGACGTAATTTGCTATCTAAAAGAGAAGAGTTGCTCAATAATTTTTTGTATTTCTGTGTAATTTTATATTGAATAAAAATATGTTGAAATAGTCTGTTTATATTTCTGATTCCATCAGGATTTTGGAAATAAATATGCTATACTTACAAGACATTGTAATTATAAGCATGCCATTAACTTTTCGTTAAACGATGATGTTTTTACGTGTTGCCACCTTATTATTATTATGGTTATTATGCTCAACTCAAAAAAAACTTTACAGAAAACTTTCAAAATATGAAAGCCCATTTAAATGAGGTAACCTATGTTAATATAGTCGTTTAAAATTTTTTTTTATAAATTTATTTTTAATAAAAATTAATCTTTGATTGTTTTTGATTTTAAATTTAAGTTACATTTTGCGCACAAAATTCTGGGGTCTGGTGAGGGGCTCATCAATAACAGCTCAATGTTGCCTTAGTTGAAAATGATACAAAATGAAAATTAAGACTTTCAGAGAGCACAGCCCCCCTGATACCAGTGACGAAGAATATGATGAAGAATACTCCAGTACATCAAAGCAGAGTACGTTAAGAATACATTAAGTAATAAGCTATAAATTATAGCAAGTATTCTTTATTAAGTATACTCATAATATATGAGTATTATATGTCTGCATTCATATATATATATGTATATATATATATATAAATATTTTTATTCCCTGGGCACAGACATATAGGTATATAAATCCATCCCATGATATAAAGAATATATTTAACCAACGTAATTTACCCTCGGAAGACAATTCCTGGCTCCAAGAAACGAAATTAATGGCATGGATGGAAGGGGTTTGGTCGAAACAGTTATTATTATGGAGATTACTATATATTGAATATGAGTTCTGTTGTTCAATTAATTTTTTTATATTTTATAGCACTTATGTTTTTACACATGTATAATGTTTATTATAGTATAAAAGTTTGCGTTAGTGTAAGTAAGAAATAAAAATATCAGATCCATAATACTTCATCAGTTAATATTTCAATGAGATTCCCTTTCTATTACAGAATCGTCCGAAAAAATTCCTCATAAAACCCATTTTTCAAAAAAATTGAATAAAGCACAGTACAGAAATAGTATAGATGCTAATCAAGACCCCAGAAAACATAAAAGAAAACATAAATCCGAATTTTCTACAGATGAAGAATCTGATTTAGAATCAGGCAAACATAGAATAAAATCTAAAACTGAACTTTATAATGATGAAGACGAATTTGAAATAAAACCCAAAAATCGTAAAAGAAAATCTAAAACCAAACTTTATAGAGATGAAGACGAATATGATTTAGAACCCGAAAAGCATAAGAAACAATCTAAAACCAAACTTTATAGAGATGAAGACAAATATGAATTAGAACCCAAAACGCATAAAAGAAAATCTATAACCAAACATTATAGAGACGAAGATGAATATGAAATAGAACACAATAAACATAAAAGAAAATCTAAAACCAAACTCTTCACAGAAGATAATGAACCCAAAGTAAAACACAATATACATAAAAGCAAGTCCAAAACCAAACTTTATGCAGATGAAGAAGAATATGAACTAGAACCCAGAGAACTTAAAAGAAAATCAAGAACTGAACTTGATACGATAGAAGATATCGAATCCGAAATTGGACCATCAAAAAGATTTTACCAGAGACAGAGAAGCTTATCAAATATCAACTTACAACCCAAAAAACTGTCGAAATCGAAAACCAAAATAGACTCTACTAAAAATAAATATAAAAACCTTAAAACAGAATACACTAATGTAGACGGCGACGATGATTCGGAAACAGCAATTGAATTGCTTCAAGGATTGCAAAGCCTTGCAACTGTCATTCAGCCACAGAGTGGAAATGTTTTTCAATTTTTAGGTTGGGTTGTTTATCAGTTCATGCACTATGTCAGGTCCTATACGTGGGGTACATAGGATATGTGTGTAAATACATGTCAGACTATGAGTCTCTTGAATCCAATTTTGAGAGTGCAGGTCGTTTTAAACACAAATGATCTAAACTTTTCTATCTATACCTATTTAAGATATAATTCAATCACAACAAAAATCAAACAGAAAATAACGTAACTTAACTAAAATTTGTATTAAGTATTGATCAATAAGTGAATATTAAGATTTACACGAAATGGTATGGAACACCTATGTATATCAAAAGGGATTCTTGTGCTTAAAAGATTTTAGTTTTATAGTTTTATTGTTAACTTGAAAACTAAGAAATGAATAATACATCATTTACAGAATATGTCACTCTGTATCACTTTTATTATCGTCATACGCTTACTTCTGCGCCAGAGGACAGACAGCTATAATATAGAAACTATACTCCTTATTAGCTCCAAAAGTTTAGTCAATAAAATGTTCTTCAATTATTTTAAATCAAATCTATTTTTATTTCCTTCAAAGCAGTACTAATAACGTTTGTCATGTGAATTAATTTATAGTAAAATAAACTATATATATACACATTACTGGTGATTATATTATGTGACAGGATATCTATATATGCTCCTTGAAGTTTTTTCTTTCAACATAAAGAAATTTCTTAGTTTTTATACTAACGGATGGACTTCTGAAAACACTTTTTAGTAAAAAGTGGTTAGAATCGATTAACTAAGTCACTTAGCTATAATAAAATGTGTCTTTACTATGTGCTTGTCGCGGCGTTGGTAAAGACAATCGACAATATCTTAGTAACTATCTAAGATATAGTGACTATTACTAATATCTTAGAAATAGTACTAAATTTTAAAATATTGAATAAAATACTTTCAAAATTTGTCAAAGATTTTGATGGGTCTCTTAAGACTTTTCTCAGATAAATATATTAACTACTTATTTCAATTGAATGACTTATGAGTGATAGAAGTATAAGAAAAAATAAAATTGTATAGGCCACACTTTGAGCAAGTCTCAGAGCAATGAATCGAAAAAAGCGCTTGAATGATACCCAAAAGTCTAACTAAGAAATCCTCTAACTAACACCTGGACTCGTTTAATGCAGGCGGTGTACCAAAGTAGAAGCACCTGACCTGAAATTAAACACTTGGCACACAATCAATAAAATAGATGTTAGTATCAAACTATTCTACGCTCTATGAAAAGCTTCTCTGAAAATTTATTTTATATAATGTATTTACTTTAAATCGAAAAACTCAAGAAAATAACAAACAATTACGATATAAGATGTCAATATTTTGGACCTTTAATTTTTTATAACTTTTTCAGATATTTGGTCCTGTATTTCAATATTTTGGCGAACGCAATATTTCTTCTAAGCCTAGCTTCCTTA